ACTAATAGAAGGCAACTTGGGCAGCAAAGACCATGAAATGACTGAGTTCAGGATCCTGAGGAAAGAAAGGATGCAGAGGAGCAGAGTAAGGACCTCACTGCCTTTTTTACTTCAGTCTTCACACACAAGGTGAGCTCCCAGACTACTGCATCTGGCAGCATAGCTCGGGGAGGAAGTGAGCAGCCAACAGTGGTGAAAGAACAGGTTAGGGATTATTTAGAAAAGCTGGGCACATACAAGTCCCTGGGGCCAGAGGGAATGCACCAAAGGGTGCTGAAGGAGGTGGCTGATGTGATTGCAGAGCCATTGGTCATCATCTTTGAAAACTTATGGCTATCAGGCAAGGTCCCAGATGATTAGAAAAGGGCAAACATAGTCCCCATATATAAGAAAGGGAAAAAGGAAGATCCAGGGGGTAAGGTGGGACAGGAACAGGGACGGACTACAGACCAGCCCTCAGTCCCTGCAAAAACCATGGAGCACATCCTCAAGGAATCCACTTCTAAGTACTTGGAGGAGAAGGTGATTAGGAATAGTCAGAAAGGATTCACCAAGGGCAAGTCATGCCTGACTAACCTGACTGGCCTCTATGATGAGGTGACTGACTCTGTGAATGCGGGGAAACTGGTGGATGTGGTATACCTTGATTTCAGCAAGGACTTTGATACAGTCTCTCACAGCATTCTTGCAGGCAAGCTAAGGAAGTACAGGCAGGATGAATGGACTGTAAGGAGGATAGAAAACTGGCTAAAGCATTGGGCTTTGAGAATAGTAATCAGTGGCTTGATGTCTAGTTGGTAGCCAGCATCAAGTGGAGTGCCCCAGCGATCAGTCCTGGGGCCAGTTTTGTTCAATATTCACCAAAATGACCTGGAAGATGGCATAGAATGCACCCTCAGCAAGTTTGCAGATAACACCAAGCTGGGAGGAGTAGTAGATATGCTGGAGGGTAGGGCTAGGATTCAGAGTGTCCTCGACAAATTGGAGGATTGGGCCAAAAGAAATCTTGTGAAATCCAATAAGGACAAGTGCAAAGTCCTGCACTTAAGACAGAACAGTCCCATGCACCGGTACAGGCTGGGGGCTGACTGGCTGGGCAGCAGCCCTGCAGAAAAGGACCTGAGGTTACAGTAGACAATAAGGTGGGTATGAACCAACAGTATGCCCTTGTTGCCAAGAATCTCAAAAGCAGCTTCAGACTATCTTGAGGAACTGTGGACATGATCTTTACAGCATGTCAAATCCAGGAGAAGTGTCGCGAGCAAAATCAACCTCTCTATTTGGCTTTCATCAACCTCTCTAAAGTCTTCAATTCTGTAAACTGTGAAACCCTATGGAAAATCCTGTCCAAAATTGGCTGTCCAAACAAGTTCATCAGTGTTCTGAGACTTCTCCATGACAACAAGTCAGCAAGGGTTCTCAGCAACAGGAATCAAACAGAACCATTTGAGGTGAAAACTGGAGTGAAGCAAGGTTGTGTCATCACTCCAACATTATTGTCCATCTCCACCATAATGTGCCTTGTTGACAGAAAGCTCCCACCTAGAATTGACATTGTGTATAAGATGGATGGAAGACTCTTCAATCTCAATAGACTCAAGTCCAAAATGAAGACCATGATAACATCCATAATGGAGCTCCAGTATGCAGAAGACAATGCTGTCATTCCTTAATCTGAAATGGACCTCCAGACCATTCTTAATGTATTCTCAGAAGTCTATGAGAGTATTGGCCTAACTCTAAACATCAGGAAAATGCAAGTCCTTTACCAACCTGCTCCAAATGGAGAAACAAACCACCCCTTCATTCAAATCAATGGAGAATCTCTAGAGAATGTGGATCATTTTGCCTATCTTGGAAAACAGCTTGCATCAAAGGCAGACATTCATTCTGAAATACAACACTGCTTGAAATGTGTGAGCGCAGTCTTTGGATGTCTGAGTAAGAGAATCTTTTTAAATCATGATATCCTTGCTGAAATGAAGCTCTTGGGTTATTGAGCCATTGTCATTCCAGCTCTGCTGTATGGCTCGGAAACAGAAGACATCCAAAAACTTGGAAAAGTACCACCAACGGTGCCTTCACAAGATCCTTTGGATAAGCTGGGAGGATAGATGCACAAACATTAGTAACTTGGCCGAAGCAAATTCCAACAGCATTGAGGCCATGAGCATGCAAAGCCAACTTTGCTGGACAGGTCATGTTGTTCGCATGCCTGACTTCCACCTTCCAAAGAGAATCTTTTTCTCACAGCTGAAAGAAGGTCAGCAAAGTAGTGGCAATGGAAGCACTTCAAAGTCACCCTGAAGGCAAACATCAACATCAACACTTCAAGGGGAGACCCCTTGCTCAGGACCGACCAAAATGGAGGAAAGCTCTTTGGGGGAGACCTCAACACTTTGAAACAGCTTGTCGACAGGCAAAAGAGGAAAAGAGGAACAGGCAAAAAAGAATATCAGAACATCCAGCACAGCTACACAGTACCCATCCCTCCTGGAAACACCTGTCCTCACTGCGACAAGACATGTGGATCTAGAATTGGGCTATGGAGCCACCTGCACACTCACTATTAAGATCCTTGGAAGACAATCTTGTTCGCGAGTGATCACCCATCATTAAGTAAAGGTACTAAGTAAAGGTACTGCCCATAATCAACAGGAAGGCCTTTCTATTTATTATGTACCAATTAACAGCTAAAAACATGCTTGACAGCTGATTAACATCTATATAGTCTAGTTGTTAACCTCAGCAAATTTGAGATGATGATTCTGCATGCTTTACCCACATTACTCAATGGCTTCAGTAACTTTTTGAGTTAGGTAAGCAGACTGGGGTTCTCACTAAACAATCTTTTTAAATTGAAGAATTGCTTTATTTAAATAATAATTGCCTTAAAAACAATATTATGCATATGGAAGTATGCTTCAATTCTTCCATGAGTGGCTACAAATTCATCAATTACACAATAAATGACATTTGATTAGGAAGTTTCACTTCAAGCATCGAATAAGGGGTCAATGTACTGTTGCCCTATCCATGTATCCAGGCACTGAATTGTGACTCAAAGTCATTGGCTTCTGATTCCTTCTTGGCACCACGGTGGGAAGTAACCTGAATCAACCTTTTACTTGGCCAGCCTCTGGTGTGCTGGCTGATGCACTGCAGATACAAGGAACAAGAATGAATCTCCCCACCCTTGACTGTCGGCCGGTACAGGATGGAAAATAGCAAACTCATGGAAAAAGCTTTCCCCACCGTGCTACAACTTGCAATGTGGGTACTTCTGTGTGAGCTAGGTAGCAGGTCTTCTTTATCTTTCCTTATTTTCCTGTGTGGGTGTGAAGGGCAAACTGTGAACTGGCCTGAAGAGGTAATCAAAATCTTAAAACACTATGATATTCCAAAATGGGGTTTTTTTGATAAATGATTTTAGAGCTACTTGAGGAAAATGGTATTTGTAGTCTGTTCCAGAAAATGTTCATTCATCCATTACATCATCCCTGGAATCAAATTTCATTATGGCATATATAGTATTTCTGCTGTTCATTGCTCACCTGTCCTGGTTGCTCACACGCTGTCTGGTACCTTGCTTGTTGGCATAATTCCTTTACTCTCTCATATTTTGGTAAATGATTAGACTGTTGAACTGTTTTATTGGGCTCCTCCTTCTTGCGCAGAAATTTGCTTTAAAAAAAGGTGAAAAAAGATTAACATTGCATATATAATGTACCCTCAAAAATTTGGAGAGGATGACATTAACTAAAAAAAAAAAAATCAAAGTTTATCCTCTAGTGGCTACCCTTGAAGAGAAAAATATCAGTGTGCTAGTAAGCTTTAACAAGGGCTCCTGTGGTGAATGGGTAATTCAAGTGACATGCTAAAGATCTACTCCAGTAGCCGGCAGTAGCTACTGCTGCACAGTAGCAGTGGTGTCATGGTTAGTGCCTGCTGATGCTATGTTGCTGTAGCTCATCACTATGGCGATGTAGCATCTTGTAAGATGTGCCCTACATAAACTAATCATATGGCCATATCCACAGAACCTGTGAAGTCAAGCATGCCATAAAGGGAATTTCTGTAATACTTTCACTCTGAGAATTTTCACAGTAATAATAGACAAATTACAAGAATGTTAGGGAAAAGAGTAATAACTATGTTTTTGCCTGAAGCAAGGATTTTTGTAGATGATATCTTTTACTGGACCAGTGCGTACAGATTCAGACAAATTTTCAAAAGCAATGCATTTTCTTTATGGATTTTCCATTGTGAGCGGATAATTTCAATAACTTTCCTGTTTTACTAGTGCTGGAGTGGTTTTGTAGCCATGATGGTCCAGGACATATGGATAGGTGTATTTTTATGCATCTCATTTACACATACTCTTTCTTTACTAAACAAAATGGAGAAAAATTCCTAACCAAAGAGGAAAAAATACAGGAGAAAGTTGCACATCTTACTCATAGCAAGAATTCGAGCAAAGTGATAGATGGGAAGGAATATCAGCCAGGTGAGTGATGATTAAAACTCAATGGAGGGGAAGTTAAGATCAATTAAAACATGTGGTAAGGACTGGCCAGTAAATTTGTTGTATAAAGCACCCATTCAAATCTCTTATGCAAGCAGGGAGCAAAGATGGCCATGGGCTGTATAAGTGGCAATAAGGAACTTGGAAACAATTCATTCCTTGTTTGCCTGCAAAATTTATAATTTTGCGATCATAAAAAAAGGAGGGAGAAAGAATGAGGATATGAACATACGCATGTAAGTGAGTTTTTCCACTAGGCAAGTTTCCCAAAACTCTCTCAATTATAATAATTACCCTCTTTCCACTAGGAACGTATCACGCCAAATTTTCGTCTTCTTGTTTGTTCGAAATCTGAAAGCAAAATAATATTTACTGCTGGCAACTGTGACTATTTTTGCAAAGCACTGTTAATGTTAATAATATTTGTTTTTAAAAAGCCTCTCTGCTTAGGTATACCTGAAACTTTATAAATGCGCTATTTAAAAACAGTTTTAAAATCTGACAGCTGTGGTCACTGGTCTTGACACAGCTTATTTTGCCACAATTTCTTTTCCATTCAGTTGATTTACTTAGGTGTTGGCTCCAGCCCTGGCTTTAAGAAATGGCAATGACCCACCTGTTTCCTGGCTTTTCTAAGTCTAGAAGTTTTAGGACAGACTTGCCGTCCATATCTGGAGGTGTGTCAAGTCCTGCAATATCCAGAACAGTTGGAGCAAGATCAATATTCAGCACTATCTGAGGCACTCTGCAAATTAATAGAAAAGGTCATAGTTGTATTATATGTACAATCCATAATCTTTCACATTCTCTTGGAGTTAGAATGACAATTAATGTTTATGGGTACTTTGAAGATGTAAAGCTTTATAGAAGCATTAAGTTTAAAGACTGCTCCAGGAGGACTGTGATTTTGAGAAGGGCAGACCAATATTATTTGATACAGTCACAAAGAAAGAGCATCAGAGATAAACACAATTAAATAAGAAGGGAATTTGGCCCCCTTATTCTTCTTAAACCCCTCACAATAAAAGCTGACTCTATCCATTCTACTGAACCAGAGTATAAACATTAGGGCTGGAAGGGACCTTGTGAGATCATTGGGTCCAGCACCCTGCCCAAGGGGCAGGAAGTCAGCTGGTGTCAAATGTTCCCAGCAAGATAACCATCCAAGTATTTCTTAAAAGTGTCCAGAGTAGGTGCTTGTACCACTTCTGGTGAGAGTCTCTTCCAGGTTCTGGGGACTCGGGTGGTAAATAAGTTTTTCCTTATGTCCAGCCTAAAAAGGTCTTCCAGGAGTTTGAGACTGTTAGACGTCGTCTTCCCTTGGGGTGCCCTGGTGAACAGTTCCTGATGCATACCCCTTACATACTTATAGGCTGCCACCAAGTCAGACCTGAGCCTTCACTTTTCCAGGCTGAAAACTATTAACTTCCACACTTTTAAAAAACAAAGCTCAATGCCTCAACATAAAATCATAAATGATATTATTTTCTATTGTATGTTTCAGCCAATTTATAATATATGAAAAAGAAAAAAATCTTCTATTCTTCTGAGGGAGCACCCAGCAAAAGCTGGGTATTGTTCATGAACCCCCCCACCCCCCACATGCTTAGAATGACAAGTAAATGTGCTAAGAAAGATTTCACATTAAGTTTGACAGCTGTGTTGCAGACATAGGAAAACGTACACTGATCCCGGCTCTACACTTGGACCACGAATAAAGAAAGGAACTCGAATATCAAAGTCATAAGGCATTGACTTCCCCTTGACCAGTCCAAACTGCCCAATATGGTAACCATGGTCAGCGGTGTAAATAATGTAGGTATTCTCCAGTTCACCCGTCTCCACAAGCATATGGTATAACTGAAATACAGCATAGGAAGAACTCTAAATCAAATATGACAAGACATAATTTTCATATTTATATATAACCATTATTTTTCTCACGTGAGTCTGATTTGGCCTCACTCATTGGTGAAACTACTGAAACCAGTAATAAGGCCAGGAATGAATTTGGCACATTTTGTTCCCTGCCAACTAGATCCATATTTTAATATATAGGAAATTGCAACCAGGGGGTTTAAAAAAGTTTAATTTGGTAATCTTTGGAGCTATTTGGCTTGTGCTACCATGGCCTAGAAATCAGTACGGCTGCTTGCAGATGTTAACCCTTCCTGCCCCCACCAAAAACAAACAAACAAACAAAACAAAGCAAACCACTCTTTACCGGAAGCAGCAGCGCATTACTTTGACTTGACTCTGCAGTGTGTGTATAGATTGGGCACTTTAGCTGGGCTGTTTGGTGCTTTTATCCAAAGCTGATTCAGTCAGCTATTAGATAAAAGTGCCAAAAAAGCCCCACTAAAGGGCCCAGTCTAAACAGATGTTGGGTAAGACAGGTCCAACTAAGGCACTGCCTCTAATAGGCATGCATGGGGCTCAGTGCAGAAATTCGCTGAGTTTAAAGTGCCATTTTTTTTACATGTCTGCAAACATGCATGCTCACAGTTGTGAACTGGTTAGTGAATAACTGTACAACTGTACAATAGATGGCTTCCAGACTCGATCAATTGTGTTTTGAGTTTGCAAATATCTTGTCCTCTAGTTAATGGCTTGGGAAGAGACTATATACATTTTAACACTACTGAAAGTTAAGGGAATTTCTTGTTTAGTATCAATGGAATAAACCTTGGATCTATAGGAGATGAAAAGTGGTTTTGTAATAAAAGGTCTTACACACTCTTCCTAAGATTTCAGGTTGTTACTGATGTATCGGTAATACAGTGGACAGCTAAACATGTGCCTATAAATATTAACAGACTGACACCTGAGCTTTTGTCAGTGCTTCTGTTTATTTGAGATGCCCAGAATTTGTTAAAGAATGAACTGCAAGGAGAACAGGGTGGTGTACATGCAATGTAGAAAACTCTCCATGTATATATACATACATATGTACCATGGGTTTCTACCAGATTAACTATTCCTTTAAACATTCCTTCTCCTGGATCACCTACTGAACCTGATTCTTTAAGTTTATTGGACACACAGTAATTCTTGCCTTTTAAAATCATGTCAATCTCCTGCCAATTAAAGTAAAGTGGTCATCAAAACAGCTATGTAGGACTGCCAGAGTAAGATAATTTGTCAAAACATATACTTGGATAAGTAGATTGGGTTTCTATCACTACAGGGGATCTAACCATGTTTCACTTGCATGGGGTAAAATCAAAAGTAACTTCAGTGAAGACAATGAAATTCATTTTCATAAGACTAATGGAAGTGAGAGAAGAATCTGATTCTGTATAGAAACTACATTACTATGTAATAAATGTGATCAACTTACCCTTTCCATGGAGTCATCAACTGACATCAAAGTCTGAAGCCTTTTGCGCTGTAAGACATTTGTAAATTCCATATGGATAGGCAGCATGGGGCCAGTGTACTGCATAATCCAGTGCTTATCCATGTTTGGTGCATAGTTATAGCTTGGCGTTCTGGGGAGGGTGGGGGGAAGGAAAGGTGGGTATTTGAAGAATTTACACAAAATTCATAGAAATTATAGAAACAAAGGAATTGATTAGTGATATGCCTAGATCAAACTGACTATCTGACAGCAGTGAGCATTAATACTTGAGGGCAGCAGTTCCCAAAATTTATCATTTCACATACTAGTTATTCACAATTGTGGCTCCATCATTTCACTTCATATCAAGTTCACTTACCACCAGTGGTACCAATGCCATGGTTTGGGAATCCCTGCTTTTAAATATAAAACCTTGAAAAATCTGTAATTATAAATTAATCTTTAAAATGCTAAAGACACACCAAAGTTATATGTTATTAGACACCTTCACATCATACAAGCCAAATGGAAAAGAAGGTCAACAGAGATAAAAGAAAACTATTCTCCCATTCATAGTAAGTTGTGGTAGTGCCGCATAACAAGGATAAATTGTCACTAAATTAACAACTATATAAATTTAACTGACAAAGAAAATCTTTCCATTAAGATAATGAAATTTTAGCTTTTCCTACTAATGTCAGAAAAGCAGGCACTGTGTTATTAGGTTTCAGTTTTTGCTGTCCCTCAGAGAATCAAAGTGCTGATTTATTTCCCCTTCTTACCATCACAGTCAAATAAAAGCATGTTCAGGAAATAGACACCCCTGCAGTAGACACACAGTAGAAGCTTTGAATCTAACTGCTTTGGTAGAAATGTTTGCAAATACTAACTATATTGAAAATAAATATTTATTTATGGGCTGTACCCTGCAGAGATATTATCTTTGTTTTTACATGTAAAGCACCATGTCCACCTATATCAAGAACGAGGTGAGCCACAGACGCACCAAAATATTAATACCACTACTAGTATTTCTACTAAGACCTAGAATGGAATCTACATAATTTCTGTTGGCATCATTAAATTGATCTTGGTCAAATCCCACTCTACAAAATCAAAGGCTTTGCTTGTTTTTTTGTTTTCAAGTGTTCCCAAAAATGTCAAGAGACTGTGTGGTGGGTGATTTTCTAACCAGAGGTCATAAATTTTAAAAGCACAACATGTAAGAAACACAAATATTTAATCTCATATCTACTGCATTTAAAGAATGGGATGGTGAAAATTAAACACACAAAATATGAATAGTGCCAGCACTGCTCATTAGTCCCAGTAATCCTGCTTTATATGCCAGAAATGCACCTCTCTCAAAAATTAAAAAGAGAAACAAAATAATATTTACATATTAGAATTAGCATATTATACCTTGATCCTGACCCAGGCATTTCTTTCTTCTGCTGCCACCACAAGTGTAGCCATTTACCAGGACTGAGGCTTTCATGTACTTTATGACATTTACGTTTTGTGTGTTTTTCTTTTTTTTAAATATTTTCTAATTATTATTTCTAATGATACACAATCAAGTATAATAATATCTCATTGTTATGTTAGAAATATCATCTCATCCAAGTGTACCTCATTATTTTAGAAAAAAAATCAATCCAAATTTTAATTGAAAAAATGTTGCTTTTGCATGATGTGAAATCGGATTCATATTATTTCTCTTACTCATAATGAATCCACATGGCTACTTCTTATTAGTCTACATATATACTGAAATTACCATTATATACATATTAAATGTTTACATTGGCATTTTTTGACATACATTACACTTACAAAGCACTTAAAAATATCTGGAAAGAAGTTAGGTGTTCAGCTTTTCTTGTCTCTCCTCATAGCCAGCATTGTTTTCCAGTATGTAGAAAACAGCTATTTTTGGCACCATTTCAACTATTTACTTGATAATTCACATCAATGAAGCACTCCTCCTGCTATTAATTCTGACAGTTTTAAAAGGAAATGACAATTTGACTGAATTCTTTAACAATAAGACTGTACTAAGGTACTGCAGACATATATACTGTGTTTACTTGAATCCAAGATGACACTGAATTTAAGATGATCCTCCAATAATTATATTCTATACATGGAAAAGTTATAAATTTGTTATTGCTTTCCATATATAGTGCTTAATTAATGGAGGATCAACTTAAATTTGTCCCCCCCACCCCAGTTGACAGGAAAAGCAGTAACAGGGTGGTAGATGGAGGGAAAGTCAACAAACTTACCCTCACCCCTTGCCCCTGCTGTTTGTTCTCCCCTACCACTTGCCCCCACCTACTGCCTATCTCCCTGTGCCTTTGTCTCCCCAGTACCACCATGAGGAGTACCTGTGTTTCCTTCCCCTTGTGGTGCCTGCCTCCAACACTCAGCCTACCCTGACTCCCTCTCCCCACTCACCCAACACCACAATCTACTCTCTGAGTTACAGCTCCAACTCTGGCTCTGGTCCCACTCCAACCTGGGTGTGACAAAGTGGGGCTCCCCGACTAGCCACAGTGTTAGTTTACCCACTTGCCTTTGGGCATGCCACCCACCTGACTCATCTGCCATGCCTTGTTGTTAATTAATTAAAATCTTAATTAAGGCAGGAAGCCGCCCATTCTTGCCCCGATGCCAGGGGGTGCTATCTGCGGCTCTGTTCCTCCCCTACACCGCAGCCCAAGCCTCTCAGATGGCATCCAGATGACACAGTGCTTCCGGCCTACAGCCAGACCAAGCTTAGGCCTCGTCGTCAGACCTCACACATACATCCATACTGCCCTCCTCTCACTAGGGCCTCTCACACTCCACCCTCCCTCACAGGGTCTCTTTCATGCATCGACAACTTATTCTGCCTTGCTCCCCCTTGGAGTGGGCCCCTTAGGCCATAGCCTTTATCTAGTTCGTACCTTGGGTGGCAGATGTACTGTCTTTTGGGCCTCTTCTGCGACCCTCACCAGGGTAGTGGCCAGCCAATTACATGACTGGGACTAAGCTTGCTCTGGTCCCTTCCAGGGCAACTCTATACACTCACACCCTCTAGGCTCTTAACCCTCTGGTTTTTCTCCCCCTCCACTGGGCTCCTCATCTCTGCCCCCTTTCTGGGGCCACCCCTCATTGGTGCATTCTTGACTCACACCATGACTGGTGTTCTGGGGTCTCATGGGTACTCTCACCTCCCCTCTCCCAGAGCAGCAGGTCATTGTGCTGTAGTCTAGCTCTTCTTTTTGACCCACACTCAGCCTCCCAGCAGTGGAGGACTTACTGGGGTCAGGACTCGCCCCTCTCTCTCAGACTGAGCTCCCTTACTTGGCCTCTGGCCCAAATTACAGCCTCAGGCATCTGGAGACATACCTGCACCCTGGGGCTGCCCCCTCACATGGGGCTCCTCAACTCTTTCCCCCTCACTTGGGGCCACGGAGCTTCCCTCCCCAGTGGGCTCAGGTGGCCATAGCTGTGCCTGGCCCCAACTACCTTTTCCATGGAGACCTACACCCCACAGGGCTCAAGTGGCCACAACTGTGCCTGGCCCCACTATGTAAACCCACCTGTAGGTGAGGGCTAGGGTTATGTAAACCCACCCAAAGGTGAGGGCTAGGGTTAAGGCACCCCTACCCACCTTTCATCAGGGTGATAACTTGCCTGGCATTTCCTGGAGGCTCTTGTACCACAGAGCCCCACCAGGCCACCCACTCCCAGCAGGATGCAGTTTTAGGTCATACCCAGGACCAGGAGCCTCCAAACCATCCCCTACAGCTCCTGCCCTTACCTCCAGGATGATACATGAAGTCTTACATCCAGATGATGTTGCTGCCTGAGCTGCCACCAGCGAACTGCCCTGTTTATTTAGGTGGCCAGAGATCTAAAGTGGCCACCACAATCAGGCACCTGCTGGCTGCTTGGCCCCAGTCTTAAAGCAGCAGGCACCAATGGTGCCCTGCCACACACCCCCTCAAAATTGTTCCTGGGGGAGGTTTCCCCTGCTGCTGCTGTTTCCCCTCAGAGCCTGTGAAAGCCCTCAAGTGGCGAGCACCCCCAAAGGTGCTCCACCACACACCTCCCTCCTTAGAATGACATATGGGGGCTTTGCTTGGCTGCCTTCTCCTCTGGCTTTGTCCCAGCCTGCTGCAGCCCCTTTCACGTGGCGAGCACCCCAAAGATGCTCCGCCACACTGGGCCACACAGCACATGCTGGCACTGGCCCCAACCTGGCCAGGCAATGTTTGTGGTGGTGGCAGATCTGGCCTCAGAATCAAAGCCATGACCCAAGGAAGGGGGCAGTGGCAGAGTGTGGGAGAGGGCAGGGAGGGGCAGACAGCCAATTTGGGGGGGGGCACTCAGGGTAGAGAAGCATGGGGCAGAGATGGTGGGGAGCAGTTGGGAGGTGGCAAAGGCAGTGGTGTAGCATGGCAAAGGCTGTAGCTCCAACTCTAAGCCCCTGTTGAGGCCAGAACTGGAGCTGGAGCAGCTGCCTGAACCCATGCCCTCCTCTTTCCCTGGTGCTCAAATCTAATACAAAGGGCTTTTTTCCTGCATGTTGAATGGGTAAAAATTGATTCATCTTGGATTTGAGTAAATACAGTACCACCAACAGAGAAACAAATTAGCAGCATGTGTGACATACTGAATGAAACATTATAACATGAGTGTTTGGATATGCTAACTATAACAAACTGTATAAAACGATATTAAATACATACTGGAATGGCAGCCCTAGAAATAGTTTCCTCTCTTATCTGCCTCAAAGGTGTGGTGGAAGTGACCTCTGACCTCACCAACTGATTGGGGGTGGTGTGGAGGGGAGGGGGTCCTCCAGAGCCTAGCAAGTGAACGCTGCTGCTGTTATTTACCCTTTCCCACCCTCTTCTTCCCTGGTAGATTCAGCAGCATGGGGGAAAGGAAGGAACAAGAGGCAGCAGCTTTCACCCCTGGACTCAGGAGCAACATAAAAGCAGGGCTCAGGCCATACCCCATGCTAAGAACTCATATGTAGCACAGCCAAATGAAATGCCACTCTACTGCTACTTCCCCTTCTGCCCCGCTGGATCCACCACTGCTGTAATATATTTTGTACATGTGCAAAAGGACCCAGTCCCTCAATCCCTGTAG